AAAGATTGGGAAGAAGAGAAATTAGGAAAGAGGAAAAGAAAGAGAGATTAAGAGAGGGGGGATATTAAGGGGAGAGAGAGAGAGAGAGAGATTAACAGAGAGAGACTAAGAGAGAGAGAGAGAGAGAGAGAAATTAAGTGAGAGAGAGAGAGGAGAGAAATTAAGTGAGAGAGAGAGAGAGACTAAGAGAGAGAGAGATATTAAGAGAGAGACAGAGACTAAGAGAGAGAGAGAGAGAGAGAGAGAGAGAGAGATTAAGAAAGAAAGTGAGATTAAGAGAGAGAGAGAAAGATTGAGAGAGAGAGAGAAGTTAACGAAAAAAAAATGAAATCAAGAGAGAAAGAGGAAGAAATGAAAAGAGGAAGAGTGAGATTGAGAAAGAAAGAGTGAGACCAAGAGAAAAGGAGTGAGATCAAGAGAGAAAGATAAAGAAATGAACAGAGAGAGAGAAAAGGAGTATGATTGAGAGAAAGAAAGAAAGAGAGAGAGAGAGAGAGAAAGGAATGAAGGGAGAACGAGTCAGATCAAGAGTAAAGAAGTTTCATCAAGAGAAAAAGAGCGAGGTCAACAGAAAAGGAGTGAGATCAAGAGAAAAAGAGTGAGATGAAAAAAATTAGTAGACAGCGAGAGAGAGAGAGAGAGACAGTGTGTGAGAGAAAGAAAGAAATTAAGAGAGACTGGTGGAGAAAGTAGGAAAAAAAGGAAACTTTTCTGCAGGCAAGTTTGCCAAGCGAGCAAAGTTCCTGGTTACTCGGACCGTAAAAGCAATCTTATCTCGCGTTCACTCGTTGCAGCTGGCTGGGTTGTAAATGGACGATATCCTTGTCCATCCTGACTTACGTGCCTTTTATGGCCGCTCAGTTTTACCCAAAATTCTACACTATGATACCGGCTGGCTTGCTGGTCGGCATTGGCGCAGGACCACTTTGGTGCGCGAAGTGCACTTACTTGATGGTCGCAGCCGAGGCTTACGCAACCTTGTCCGACGTGGCCGCGGACGTACTCGTCACGAGGTTCTTCGGGGTGTTCTTCATGTTTTACCAGATGGCTCAGGTCTGGGGCAACCTTATATCATCGGCAGGTACGTGCAACCAATGTTTTAGCGTTTCGTTTTTGCATTTCAGTAACTAGGAGACTCGCGATTTCGAAGCAATCAGATCTTCGAGACTCGAGAAGCTTTTTCTCGCTGGTATCCGTAAAGCTAGACGAATGATTCTTACGTGGAATGATTCCGTATACCTTCCCAAGTACGACAGTATTTTCTTTTGTTACATTGTAAACGTTTATAAATGTTTGAACAATGTTCGAAGAGAGCGAGACACTTTAATAGACCACTTCTCGGACATTTCTAAATTTATTTTCAGTTTGAAGAGACCGAAGCAGAGTTTTTTTATTATTTATTTTTATTTATTTATTAATTTTATGTGGATATAATTTTATTCGAAAAAGATTTTATTTGAATAACACATTATTCTTGCAGGTATTGAAATGATTAATTTGAGTAAAAATGATAGAATATGAAGTGTTTTTTCACAGCTTATCAATTCATTTTCTCCATATTACCTTTTCTAATTATTCGAGTAAGTAATTATTTGAGTAAAATATTCGACTAAAAGGAATTCATTCGGATAGTTATCTCAGATTGATATTTATTCGAAACAATCCGAATAATGCCCAACTGTGGCCTGAAACAAAGTTTCACCAGACTTCGCAAAAGTTTCAATTAGAACACAAATCAGATTTATTAGCCATACCTGTGCACAGTTATTCCACTATGCATAGTACTATGTGCATGCTTACGTCAATAAATCGTTTTTTTCTAAAGCATTTAGAGTCACAGTAAAGCAGCAATTAAACGATACCTGCGATTTAAATCGTACTGCCTCCATTCCAATTCACACTATTACTACTCGCATGATACGTATCATCGTGTGACTCTAATTTATTTTTTGTTCCATGACTTATGGTTCCATTACACATATTTGAAATCAGATCGAGACACGCCTTCTGCATCGCCTTATTTACTGTTATTTTTGCATATATGTTCGTTAAATTTTTTATCCGAGGAGAGTAACGAAGCGTCGATGATTATCATCGCACTGATACAAAGCTATGCATAAACTGCATAATAATGACGCATAGCGGAAGCACACCCACAAACGTGACTAACTAACTGTGAAACTAGTTTCACTGTAAAAAAAAACTTGTCCTATTAATTGAATGCTAATCGATCGTGGAAAATAAATCACTTCTTGGCACAAAGGACAATTTCAAAGCATACTTAAACGCTTCCAACAACAAACGAAAATCCAAGGAAATCTTTCAGTGATTATCGTAAAATTTTGACTTAACAATATCGTGAAAAATGTATTGATTTTGCTTCGTCTATTAGAAATGGATATCACTAATTCCTCTTTGATATTAAAATAATATTTTATTTATTTTATTCTTATATTTCTTTTATGCTTTTACTCCTTTTACTCTTCCTATGATTCAGTCTGTTTGGTAATGCAACGTTTTAACCGCAAACGACGTGTTGAATATAGATAAATTTAATGATATACAAATTATTTCGAAAAATAATATAGCAATTTGTAGCGATATGTTAATTCATCCGTAGACGATAATTTTCCGTGACATCAAAGATATTTTTCCTCATTGAACTAGATTATCTGTAAAAGACAGAAATAATGGTAAACGTGAATAATATATGAGCCGTTTATTTTGAAAGTGGCATAAGTCACTTTACCGTAATGAAAAGTGGTGATTTTTTTAATGTTTATACGAAATTATTTATACTGAGAAAAATATCAGTATCTCGAGACAACAAATACAAGTAAATCTTCTCGAAAGTCAGCATCCATATTTTTAAACGTGTTCAAACGCAAACCCTTAAATATATCGACTTAAAAACAAAGTGACTTATGCCACTTTCAAAATAAACGGCTCATATCATGACGATTCTTTACATGAAAAGCACAGTCCTCCTGTCGTCGATTCGTCCTCAGAAAATTTGATGGGAAATTCGTATGCAGCTCAACTATCCTCGTAAAAAGTGGTCCTAAGAAATGTATTTAATATTCAGAATGGCGACGATCCTCCGTTCGCCAACCGCCGTGCTCGAAAATTAACATAAAATCAAATCCCCGATAGTACCTACGTGTAGATCGTAAATAGCAGCGCGAAGTAATTCACGGTTTCATTTGCCGGCTGCATCGACTTTAAATGTACGTGCGGAGGTGTCGCGAGGCGGAGCAGAAATTACGCAACGAGCGTGGGATATCGGATTCGCGGCGTCTACGCGGTGTCCTTCGATCCTTGCGACGATTAAACAAGACTGGGCACGGTTAATTAATGAATGAATTCGTTGGACTCGGAGCGAGGACACGCCGGTGTTTTATTCTCTCCCTCGGAGTTTTTTTCCCCAGATAAGATTCCCGGGTTCCGTGGTGCCCGATGAAAATTCAAAAGGATGCGCTCGGCATTGTTTCCATTTCGTGGGATCGCTTCGCAATCAAAGCTTTTATATCCCCGAAGACGGGACGAGAAGTCGGGGAGGATGGAAGGAAGAGGCAGTCGATGCCGGTGCTTTAAGTGGGAAAAGCTAAAAGCGGCCCCGGCTACCCTTTTTGCCAGCGGTTTTCGAGTGTACCGGCGGAGAGTAATTAAACTGACTTTGCTCTGGTTACTGACGACTCACTTTCACTCTGATAAAACTTCCACCGCCCAGCGCCGCCGCAATGCAATTCGGAGATATCGCTGGCAAGATGTTAAGGAGAGCACCGAGCACTACCGGGAACAAAACCGGAACTATAAATTACAACCTTGTGGCAAACATCGCTTCCGAAGATCCGAGACTAATAAGCTATTCATTCAAGCGCTGCGATTTAGTCGAAGTTGCCTGACTGAAATATGCGGGCATTTCGAAGGAAATGCAATCGGGGATAAATTGTACATATATATTTTTTTAAAGTTAACGTTAACTTTTTTGAAACTGGACCAAACGGATTGTTTTGAAATGGAAAGGAGCTTAGTCTGCTAGAGAATGATTAAAATGCTTTTCTCAATTTTGTTATTATTTGGAATAACAAAAAAATAAGAAACTCTCGTGTTATCTGAGTTGATAACGAATATTTAAAAAATACATTTTGTAGATCCTGACGGTTTTTACACTTTCGACGAATATCAATAAAAAATCTGCCGTTTTTTAAATCAGCATTTGCAACTCGATTCTACATTAACCGATTTTGACGAGACTTTCAGCATCCATTTAAAAGTTGCAGAAGTCTATAAAACACATTGCTTAAATTTTCGTTATAGGTTCTGGTAAAAAAGTTAAAAAACACAAGTTTTTCATCTCTTTTATCGCTCCAAGTAACAGCAAAATTGGAAAAGAGTATCATAGTAATTGTGTAATAGGGTAGTTCTTCTGTCATGTAATATTCGTTCTCGACGATATTTTGTTTAAGATTGCCCACAATTACTTGAATTTTTGCCAAACGATAGAAAGACCACTTTGTTGCGCAATGATGAAAAAGACTGGAGAAGATTGCATCTCAAATGCATTTGGGATATGGAAAGTTGTGTTGATACCTTGGAGAGTTGTTGTTTTCGTGCCTTGGAAAGTTGAAGTTTATTCAGGAATGTAGATCCATCTGAGAATTAATACTGTGTTTTCTACCATTTTCGTTACTTCCACAATGATTGCTTTTTAATTAGACGACAGAATTATGAAACATTATATAAATTGACAGCTTTATAGAAAAACGTGTTCACACTGTTCAACCAAAAAATCAAATTTGCTTTCTATGTATGTATAGCGCTCGCAATCGGGTGTTAACTATACCTCAATTTTATGGTGACTTCACGCGGGATTTTTCAACTGATTTGAAATTCAAACTAGTTTCTCTCGACATCAGGAACACGTCACTTGCACCCATGAACTGGTGATTTTATGCATTTATCCTGCACTACCATTTCATTGCATTCATCGAGATATTGAACGACTTTCATTAGAAACCACGCCTGAAAAAAATAGATATATTCATTAACCGCGGATCGTTATGCGAGATAAAAATTCTCCAACGCAGTTGTAAGAAAGCATAATTAAATAAAAATATTTGTTCTGTCCTTTATTAATTCTAATAAATTCAGAAGAAGGTGCCAAAGGTGCCAATGATCTTAAATTTCTCTACGACGCTTTCACTAATTTTTATATATATTTTATTTTATATTATATATATATTATATTATATATATTTGTATTATATATTATTTAATATTTTATATTATATTATATATATTTATATTATATATTATTTAATATTTTATATTATATTTTATACATAATAACGGTGATAAATTAAGAAGAAGATAGCAATGTTTCTAATTTTTCTAATAGGATTAAATTTTGATACTTCATGTATATTAAGTTTTGCCACGTGAAGTCCACAATTTACATCTCAATGATCGCAAGATTATTAGATTTTTACGATTTTTATCATCTAGCACTTAACAATTAACTGGCGATTTATACTAAATGTTTAATAATCTGTAAATAATGTTTCTGTCAATAGTACTTTCATACGGGATCGACACAGTGCCAACAAACATTACGCTGAACAGCACAGTGGTAGCGGAAGCATGCGGCGCCAACTTCTGCGGGGCTACTTCCGGCGATGCTGAAAGTCCGAAACTGGAACGGCCACCCGAAGAAAGGATCCACCTGATTTCCGGCATTTATTTGTGCTGCATGATAGTCGCCTCCTTAATTGTCGCGTTCGGCGTCGATACTCTCTCCAGGTAACCGATCATTAGACAATAAACTGAACAATTCGGCGCGACCACCACCACCACCGCCACCGCCACCCCACCGCCCCTCCTTCCGCCGGCTTAATAAAATGACGGTAGTTGCAGCTTAACTAACCATTGTTGTCGCCGAAGTTAGCCAGAGAGGTATTAACTCGCGCTCGTAAATTACGAAACTGTTACGATTTATAGCCATTGCGCGGAGTGAGGCACTAGACTGCTGATTTTATGGATTCACAGCATTATACGGGGTGGACTGGTACACGAGGCACAACCGGCGCACAGTGCAACCAATCGCGATTCTACTCCTCTATAGTCACCTTTCCGCGCTGAAAATTAATCTTTCTCCGGATCATATTCTCCGTGTTACACGCAAAATTAATTTTGCTGTAGACCGCGTTCATCCGTTCCCAAATCCAATTAACCCTCTTGCAGATTTAATGCATCCTTTTGCGCAAATTGAATTAATCCCATTGCAATCAAATTGGCAGCCTTTTATTCTATTTATGAAGTTACTATAAATTTATATGTTCTTCTTCTTCATACTTCGAAAACATCGACGACGATATATATTTCTATCATATTTTTATCAAATTTTTATAGTATTCGTCTTTCTCGAGTGAAATTCCCCATTTTAAAAATTAAATTCACTTATTTGCAATTACTCGTAGTAATAATAATAATACAATAACATTTATAATATTTAAATTTAATATGAATTTTACTACGAGTAATTGCAAATGAGTGAGTTTAATTTTTAAAATGGGGAATTTCACTCGAGAAAGATGAATACTATAAAAATTTGATAAAAATATGATAGAAATATATATCGTCGTCGATGTTATTATACAATAAAATTTATAATATTTAAATTTGATTTGAATTTTACTACGAATAATTGCAAATGAGTGAGTTTAATTTTTAAAATGGGGAATTTCACTCGAGAAAGATGAATACTATAAAAATTTGATAAAAATATGATAGAAATATATATCGTCGTCGATGTTATTATACAATAACATTTATAATATTTAAATTTAATATGAATTTTACTACGAGTAATTGCAAATGAGTGATTTCAATTTTTAAAAATGGGGAATTTCACTTGAGAAAGATGAATACTATAAAAATTTGATAAAAATATGATAGAAATACATATTATCGTCGATGTTTTCGAAGTTGCAAGCATCAGAAGAAATACTTATCATAACAATTGCCTCTTCAATTCAAACAATATCTGTGAACATCGTATTATCGAAAGCAAGTAAAACATCCGAACTGATCAAGTTATTTCGTTCGAGGAAAACAAATTTTCCGATTATCCAGCGGGAGAAAGCGCTTCGTCGTGGAATCTAGAATACAGATTTTACGCGATCACTATAATTTTCTCTCGCCGACGTCAATATTGATCAGTGAGATTCGGCAGTTCAACATCTCGAAGCGTTTAATCCAAGGCTGAGGGCAATCGAGACGTGGGAAAAATCGACAAAAAAAATCCACGTAAACGCATGAAATATGAAATCTCATTGGCTCTCTCTCTCCGCGATCGGTGAGAGCTTGCGCGTAAATCGTTCGAAGAATACGATTACGACGCATGTGTCGCCCGATATTCGATTCCCTTCGAAATCCGCGTTATGAAAATCAGCCTCATCAAAGAAATATTGGAAACCGATACACGCGACGTATGGAATTCAAGTGGACCGAAACTCGTGGATGAATACGATACACAGGCATTTAAGTGGTAAAAGTAGAGACGTTATATTATATTATGCGGGATTCATTGGATACTTACATCAGCTGATATCGAATCAAATCAAATTAATTTTGTGGATTTTGTAAACACCAAAATCCCAAAATACATTCGCTCATCTTGTTTATCGAACAGATTATGCAGATTTGATCGCACGGTGCGAGCTTACACATTCTCTCTCTCGTGTTTAATTGCCGCGTAATATTAACCAGTAATTAATCCCATTCTTTCTAATCAATTTGTGTGATCTCCGCATTGATTCTCGATGTAGGTTTATTATTATTTTATGGTTGCACTCGGTGCATCATACAATGAAACCGTTCTATAAACGCGAAACTGTAACAATAGTTAGCTAAAACCAATTTGTGGAAGTTGTTACATTATTGATACATATTTATTTATTTGTATAAACATCATATTCGGCCATGTTATTTATACAATATTTGTTATAAATTTATATGTTCGTGACCATTCTGTTACAACATAATTTATCACTCGATCATAGCCAATTGTTTCTAATAAAATAATAAATATTGAACGTTCGCGGTGTGAATCTAAGACGGCTAGATAAATTATTGTGCAAAATCGAAATCACGTGCGCCAATTATAAGAAGAAGAAGTTAGAGAGAAGATTGAAAAATGATTGAAACAACGGTCTTCGTAAACTCTTAGATTTTTTTATTGTATATTGTACTTCATTCGCACGTTTCAGTCACGGATGCATAAAATCCACAGATTATCGGCGGCTTACGTAATACCGTCTCCGTCAGAAAAAATGATCACCGGCAAATTAATTCTTTCATGCCTCGCCACGAGACGAATTCAATTAGCACGACCGACTGCGCTCTTTTATTTTCATTCCACCTGGGAACAGCCACCGCATCTTCATTAACACGTTGAATGCCACGGGGGTGACCGACACTTAACACTTAGCCAACCCAATAAGGAGATCTCCCCGTTTTAAATTCAGTCGGTTAACGACCGAATGGATCATTAATGAAAAATTAAAAACGACTGCTTAATTTTATTAAGATTTGCAAGAGGTACGATTGCTGAAGAAGTAATCGATGCCATATAAGTTTGCTTCATAATGTTTGTTTAATCGAATGAAATATTTTAATTTTATGCAAATTTTTGAGGTTTCTATGCGCGGTCGTGGAAGTGTTAACACGTTCCGTGCCGAGCTTTTTTTACTCGAATCTTCACACTTTGATATTTTACTAAAACTTGATGTATTACGTGCAATTATTAATTCTCGTACACATAACAACGTAACAAAAACTTATCAACGCCCATTCTTGCGGTGGAAATTGATTCTTCGGTTCTAAATTTCTTGTAAACAATTTGTTCAGTTCACTAAGTAAACATGCAAGCGTGTACCATCGATGGTACACGTGGCACGGAACGTGTTAACCTGGCGGTGACGCCATGGGGGTCACCGGTGACCGGCGCGCCCAAATTGATAGAAATATATATAATTTCAAACAAATGTCAATATCGAAAATTTTGTATTATTACCATCGTCGATTCAAACAGTGGCCCCTGTCGCAATTAACATGTCAAACATGGTTATACACTGTGACTTATCTATTGCAAATAATATATTTCAACATTATATGTATCACATAAAAGAATATTCATCGTGGCGCCACGGACAATTTCTGTAAAACCGGTGTGGCATTCAACGTGTTAAACCGAGGAAGAACTGAAAACAAATACAGGGTTCCCCGGAAAGAATCATCCGATTTCAAAAATTTATATTTTAAAAAATTACACACAGAAAATTATAATTCAAACACGAATATAACGGGGAAATGTGCGAATTTTACTTTTTACCCCATTGGCACTTGGAGGTCGGGAATTTTCTTAACACGGAACTACCAAACCGTCGGATTGGTCGCAGTTCATCCGATAATATGGTTCTACAACAGTTGGCCTCCGAGATCGCCCGACCTAACCCCTTGCGACTTCTTCCTTTGGGGATTTGTGAAGGATCTTGTCTTTGTACCACCTTTACCTACAAGTGTAAATGAACTGAAAAAAACGCATTTGTGATGCTGTTCAAACAATTACCAGAGATACATTACACCGTGTTTGGCAAGAACTTTCATATCGCAATGATATCATACGTGTAACGAAAGGAAGTCATATTGTGAACACTTGTAAACAAAAACTCACACATTTTCCCGTTATATTCGTGTTCGAATTATAATTTTCTGTGTGTAATTTTTGTTTTGTCCGTACGTTCGGTTAGTCGCCTAACGTACATGCGCGACCGAACTATTGTACGCTCGATTCGCGCTTCCTGCGGCAAATTAATGACGTGGAAGGGTCTCTAGTAGTCTTAGAGAACTTTATTTTTTGTGTTGTACTCTCTGCGAGCGCTGGTGGAAGAATGCTCTTCCAACGCTGGAAAGTCGTGGAAGAGCACCCGTGGATGGAGGTAGATTGTTTATTATTGGTCAAGGCACGAATCACCCCTTGGAGGGGGGTGTCTGCCTTGACCCTTG